CTTTAGCCCTTTTGCCCGCTTGCAGTTCCTTTCGCCCTTCTAGTTCCTTCAGCCCTTGTGCTTTGTGTAGTCTCTTTAGCTCCTTTAGCCCTTTTAGCCGCAGGAGTCCCTTTAGTTCTGTTACTCCCTTCAGCCATTCTACTCTGTGTAGTTTCTTTAGCTCTTTTGGTCCTTTTAGTCAGAGATAGAACCGGTACCGTCGACGAACTGTTCCGTCTCGCTCCGGCCCAGTCTGTTCTCGATCCAGATCTTGGAGTGACCGGTCTGCCGTTGGACCAGTTTGTACGAGTCGAACGGTTTTTACCGGTGTAGCTTATTTTCTTGTCTGCTTCTATTTGGGACGATTATCCAACATTTCTATTGAGCTTAATTACATAATGTCGGTTGTATTGTATAAAGTTTATAATTTGCATTAGTACACTGTAAAACAAAGTTCCAATCTAAGAATCGATGGATATTATCAAGAGAACAGTAAGTTGCTAGTCCACTAGTTTTTACGGGTCGAACCATTAGAGCGGCCGGCCACCTCACCCGGACTTACTCACATCGGTATCGGCACCGATCGTCAAAAATCTAGATCGTTCCATCTCTGCATTTAGTCCCTTTGGTCCTGTTACTCCTGTTAGAGATTTCACTCCCCTTAGCACTTTTATGCTCTTTATTCATTTGACTGCCTGTAGTCCCTTTAGCTTCCTTAGCCGTTTTAATCCTTTTATTTCTGTAGTCCAGTTGCTCCCTCTAGCACTTTTAATCTAGGGATGCAACGGTGACCGGTTGGACCGGTACCCGATCGGACTGGTGAAACCAAGGGGGAAACAGCTGATTTAAACTCAGCTCAAACTCATCCAAACTCACCCAAACTCTGCCCAAACTCACTCAAACTCACCCAAACTCACCAAACTCATAAATCGCTGTTTCCCCCTTGGGTGAAACGGTGAATCGGTCACCGGTCTAACGGTGAAAGCCAGTAAACACCTTAATACCTTTCGAAGGTGAGAAAAACGGCCTCTAGATCTGATCGGCTGAAACAAATAACCAATCAGATTTCGAGGCCGTTTTTCTCACTTTCGAAAAGTATTAAGGTGTTTATCGACTTTCACCGTTAGACCGTTTCACCGGTCCAACTCATCACTGTTGCACTGGTTCAACCGGTTATCGTTTCAGTGGTTCCACCGATCACCGACTGGCTATCATCACCACTCGACCGGTGGTCATCACCGTTGCATTCCTATTTTAGTCTCATCATCCTTTTTACTTCTGTTAATCTTTTTAATTCCTGTAGTCCTTTACGTTCCTTAATCCCTTTAGACAGCACCATCATCCTCAAGATACTCCTCAAATTTTTCTCTCAAGTAGTTACTTGAGGCAATATGGCAGCTGTACTTTTTTCGAACTTTATTTTGGATAAATGATTAAATGGCTGAAAAAATAAAATATAACAAATATCGTGAGGACTGAATATTTCTTGGCTGCAGAGAGCTTTGGATATTCTTTTTTTGGTAGCTCACATTTGTATAGTAAAAATTGAAGAATTTTGTTGCAAAGAAGTTTGAATGAATTAAGAAAGCTTCCATGAGAGCACCGAGCACTATTCTAAAAATTGAGATACTCGTCAAGATTTATTCTTATGATCTATCCTGACTTAAAGCATTATTGTGCAAAAAGTCGGAATTCAAATGTCTAGAGTTGTTAGTTAGATGGTAAAAAAACGGCTTTACCCGACTTTGAATATTGCTCACCTTGTGTGAAATAAATTACAAATACTGTTTCTGAAAAGTTGAGTCCTCTAATCTGATCGCAAATGAATCAGCATTTTTTTGTGCTATACACCAGAAGATAAAGTGTCTAAAACTGAAATTCGATTTACATATGTCATGCGCTCATTCAGTTATTATTGACCAAATACTATACAAAATCAGCCATTTTTTTGACAAAAATCAGTAGATTTTTCCAGTTCATCAGCTGTCTTATGGCTTGGCATATGTAGCGCCGCGCTGATTTTCGTGAATGTTTGGTAAACTTTTCTCCGTTACAAAATGTAAAAGAAACTTAGAAAAAAAGTGTATTTCGAGGTGAGATAGTGGTTTAAACTGTCGGTCGTCAGGCTTATGCCAGTAAAACACAGCGTAGATACCGTTGTCAATGTCTACTTCTGATCATAAATTTGCATCTGATAAGAATTACAGTACCATCTTAGATAGCATAGACATCGAAAAAATGTGGGCAATATGGTCGACTTATCTCAAGGTCTCGGAGAGATCATAATTTGAAAAACACGTTAAATCAGTCATAATAGCCTTAAAATAGGTTAGATCAATATAAAATTTTGAATTCTATCCGATGACAATAGAATTAGAAGGCAGTCGTCTTTGTTCAACTTACAATAGATAGATATCAGACCTCTTTAGGATGCTCAAATATATGGCTAAATAGTTTGTAGTGAGTATCCTCGCGAGAGGATCTTATAGACATTGTTGGTTGTATCTTCATCGACGAAGGTTCAAATTTTACGTTTATGTATATAATATGAGGTTTGCTCAAACTTTTTTGGATAGACTTTAGGGTTACGCACTGCTTACAGATCCTAAAGTGGATCGACTGTAATGTTCGCATTATTGCGACAGACTTCGATTAGTTTTGAATTTTGATCACACATCTGTGATGAGGATTCCACACTCTGCAAAGTATCATAGTTGTTAGATTATTCTCGGGAAAACAATTTTTTCGAAATTGTTGTGCCTACCGTAATCGGTTTAAAAGAGTCGGAAAAAGGTCCAATTTTTATGGTAACGATCTGTTCTATTCTCTCAGGAATGACATCCTCAAAAATTTGTATCTAGCAAATTTTTGATCAAAAGTGAACATTGATAACTGATCCTACGCTATTTTATACTGGCGAACGCTTGATTAATTCATTTTATTTTCTGTTTCTATAAAAGTCAAATAAACTCTATTTCATAGTTTATCCGTTGGCTGTAGTTTTCATTCTCAGATTTTGTAGTTCATCATAGAAAACACAAAGTATAAAAACTGGTGAGAACCACTCATCTCTCTCCTGCCTCCAAGCATGTTGATAGTAGGCGATCTATCACCAACTGGATTATGAACTGTTAGAAAAAAATTTCTTAGAAAACAGCTTTCTTCCGTTCAATTGTGTATTTTGATGGTGAAACAGTTAGTTCTCACACCGTTGATCATCCGAGGCATGATAAATTGGTCGCCAAATCTACGATTAGAATAAAAACTCATAAAAGTACTTGAAATATTGAGTTGTGTTTCTATGAGACAAATCCATTCATTATCACTCTGATTAATAGAAAACATGCAGGACTTTCCCTGGCATTGCCGACATCTATCGCACGATCGTTGGAGATGGTGCAAATAATGTGAGCTTTCGCAGAAAAATCGAATGACCATGCTTTTTAAACGAATATTAGGTTTCACTTTTGACTTATTACTATAGATTAAGCTTTATACGTACGACTGTTTGAGAAATGCATCCTGTCATCTCTACGATGTCGGATCGAATGCATACTGGCGTCTCGTATGCTCAAGAGCGCCTATGGCTTGACGAGCGCACTCGTCTGGATTCAATGTCATTACCAGTTGTGTATAATCATCTTCTTCCACTTACTATCAAAAATGGCACGCTTTCCGTTGAACGGATCCGATTAGCTCTCCTATCTGTCATCGAGCGGCACACAATCCTTCGGACGGCCTTTCGCTTCAATGAGAAGAATGGTCAACTCGAACAAGAAGTTCAATCGGTCACGGAAAATGGAATCTTGTTTCAACTGACAAGACGCGATCAAAACCAAATTGACACAATTCTCGAAGCCGAATCCACTAGCCATTTTGCTGAGCTTGACCGTGGTCTTGTTTTACGATGTCATCTCATTCAGCGCAGTCTGCTCGAAAACGACAATGATGTTCTTCGTCCAGATGACATCATAGTGTTCGTTTTTCATCCCATTGCCTTCGACTCGACCTGTATTCATCCCTTTCTTGACACATTCGTTTCGGCCTATGATCATTCAAATCGGTTGTCGAAGTCGACAGATCTTCAATATAGTGATTATATTCTATACGAGAAAAGTCTCATGGTGGAGAGCAACAGTGCTTCGACAACGAATCCAGCTCATCAATTCTGGTCATCAATGATGAATGATTACGATTGGAAGAAGATCAGCAACATACATACGACAAACAAGTCCTCAAAGACTAAAAGACTATATCGTAGCTATACGATTAAAATTGAACTTGACCACAACTTTGTTCAACTTCAACAGCAACTTGCTTTGACAATGGATGTCTCCATGTTTCATTTGTGGTTCGCATACTATTTTGCATTTCTATTCAAACTGGCCAACCCTGATACGGATGGCGACTTGTGCATCGCATCTTTGACAAATATTCGACCACTGATCGACGAGTTCAAGTCAATCATCGGTCCATTTACAAATATAGTTCCGTATCGTATAAAACTAGAACCACACAAATCCTTCGCGTATTTGGTCGAACAAGTTAAACAACTTTCAATCGACGTCCTGCAACATGCTTCATTACCATATCAACAAATCATTGGCAAAGAGCGACCGTCATATCTCTATCAATATCAATCGCCTCAAACTTTTGACCCTACTCATCAATGGAATATCGATGACGCAACACTCCGTTTGTATTCCGGTAACAATGACTGGACTCATGATCGCACTAATAGCTCACTCTATGACTTCGCGTGTACCATCAGTCACAGTCCAGCCACTGACACGCTTCACTGTTTCCTCGACTGTTCTATTGATCTTTTTGATCAAACAGCAGCAGAAATCATGGGACAACGCTTCCAATGCATCCTCAACCAGCTCTGCTCTTCCAACTTTGATCTACATCAACATTCACTTTATGAACCCTCCATTATACTGCTCAATGAACATCAGGTTCTTCGTGAATTGAACGACACACAAAATATCTCTTTACTTCCACATTCCACTATTCGAGACATGTTCACAATTCAAGCTGACAATCATCCACAAAAAGTATCTGTAGAACTTGATGAACAATGTCTTACATATGGTGAATTGATGTCATATGTGGAGCGAATCGCTCTTCTTCTCCTTGATCATTTTCACATTCAACCTGGTGAAATCATTTGTCAATGTGTGGAACGAAGTATTGAAATGGTGAGTTGACCTTACTTACTTCTTCTTTTGATCTATTTTGCTGTTTGTTTCAGGTAATTGGAATGATGGCAATCGAAGTTGTAGGTGGTGTTTATTGTCCATTGTCTGCAGCAGATCCACAAAATCGCCTTCAACAGCTTATTCGCGACACTAATAGTCATCTTGTACTAGTGGATTCGATGACACGTCACGAACTCAAAGATGTTGAAATACTTTGCATGGATGACTGGATCGTCACCAGTGGATCACAGAATACTTGTGATGTCGATCATCTTTCTTCAATCAAAATAACGCCTGACAATCTAGCATATGTTCTTTTCACTAGTGGTTCAACTGGAACACCTAAAGCGGTAATTGTTTTTCACATAACAGACATCCATATCATTACTTCTTGTTGGAATGTGTTTTCTCTTTAGGCTCAACTTAGTCATCAAAACTTCATTGGTTGGCTTCAATCTGCGCTATATATTGGAATGTTCAGCGAACAAGATATCATCTTGCAACTAGCACGCTGCACATGGGATATTCATATCATGGAAATCATGGGAGCATTGATTGCTGGAGCTTCAGTGATCGCCCTTCATCCTCATCGAACATTGGATTTGTCCTATTTGATCGAGATCATACAGATGAAAGCAGTCTCTTTTATTCTATCAGTCCCCACATGGTTAAACCAGTTGTGTGATTTTCTTTCATCTGGTAGCAACACAATATTGAATACACTTCGTACTGTTGGCAGCGTAGGTAAGTTTCGAATTATGAGAGTTTGTTCAACTTGCATTACCTATTCAATCTTCTTCCAGGTGAAGCACTCTCATCACAACTTGTAAACAAAGTCAAGCGACATTGCTCACCAAATTGTTCCTTATGGAATGTATATGGTCCCACTGAGACGACAATTGTCGCGACGGCTCATCGTATCGATCTGCGCAAAATGATATGCGAAGAGAGAAGCATTTCAATTGGTAGACCATTTCCAAACTACAAATGTTATGTTCTAGACGAATTTTTGCGACTAGTCCCCATCGGTCAAATAGGTGAGCTCTATATTGGGGGTGTTGGTGTTTTTCCTGGCTATCTTGGTCGAGATGATCTCACATCAAAAGCTCTTGTCAACATCAACGGAGAAGTTTTGTACAAAACAGGAGATCTTGTTCGACTCGATCACAAAGGATTGTTATATTTCATTGGAAGAACAGATCATCAAGTGAAAATCAGAGGACAACGCATCGAACTTGGTGAAATTGAACACTGTCTCTTACAGCTTGTTTCGAACTGTCTAATAATCAAGCATAATGAACAACTTGTCGCGTATGTTCAAGCCGGTAGCGATATGGATAGTAATCGATTGCGTATTCACTGTGAATCTGATCTGCCTTTACATATGATTCCAGGAATGTTTATCATCATGGAGCAATTTCCACTTAATGCCAATGGAAAGGTTGATCGCAAAGCATTACCCCAACCACAACGACGAAGGACATTTGTTATTGAGCATGAACCACAAAATGAAATAGAAGCTCGCGTTGAGGCTATTTGGTGCTCTGTTCTTTCATGTGATCGAGTATCGACCACAACTTCATTCTTTTCATTGGGTGGTCATTCACTTCTCTTAATGGAACTCTATCATCGCTACGAATCAGAGTTTAATTTTGACAGGCGTGCTCTTTCAATCAACATGATATTTTCTAATCCAACAATTCTTCAACATGCACGATTGCTTGAAAAACACTCTGTTATAGAAGAACGTATAGTATGGCATCCACTCAACATGAAAAAAGGTAAAGAAAAAAGGCTAGTATTTATTTGAGCAATAAAAATATTGGAATGAGCAATAATTAAAACACAATATAGCAATAATTTGTGAGCAATAAAAAAACTTTATTTGAGCAATTTTATATTATTAAATGTACAATAATTAATTCATTAAATAGCAGTAATAATTTCATATTTTAGCAATAAAAAAAAGAAAAGCTACATTATTTTTAGTTATATTTTAAAATAAAAAAAGAAAAATGAAAAATATACATAGGTTAGGCAATAAGTTCTTGCACTTTCAAATATTTATTCATAGAAAAAAACATTTTGCTGATTGTTTTACAGTAAATGGTCGAAGTAGTCCCCATGATGTTCAATACAACGTATTATCTTTTCAATCCACTTCTGAAATGTCTTTTGATTATCTTGAATAGGTATTGGATTGAGCTCCTTGGATAACACTTTAACTAAACTTGTAGCATGTGGATAAGTACCAAGGCTACGTTTCAGACAACTGAACAACCAAAAGTCTGAAGGAGCAAGGTCAGCTGAGTATAGTGGATGAGCCATAACTTTGATTTTCTCATCTTAAAAATAATTAAGATTGAGAACAATATCTTACATATGTGATTTTGCAGTTTTGTAATGCAAATTTATGCTACTTGTTTTTGATGATGATTTTTTCTTATGTAAATTTTTGACTAAAAATCTTCAAGTACTCATCACGATAGTTTATATGATAACTATGTCTAAGATGGTAGTGATATAATCAATACTAATATGTGAATCATCATTCACCAGGTCCTGGATCGCATCAATATTCTGTTGAGTCATGACGGATAACGAATGATCATTCCGAGGATCATCGTCTAACGACTGGCGTCCACTTAATAATCGATGAACCCAATGAGCGACTGTACGATATGCAACAACATCTTGTTCATAAGCGGTAGTTAGTTCATCATGAGTTTGTGTAGCAGTTAAACCTAATAACCAACGAGTTTTTTATACATGAGCGTAAACACAGCTTATCTATGTGAAAACAGAGATATTCAAAAAATTCAATAAAAATTTCCCATAATAGACACTTGTGAAACTTGGTATTGGTATTTTAATACATAATAGATGTCGCTACCAGAATAGGCCAACATGAGGAATAAAACCAATGAGGGTGAAAGTATAGACTGCTGTTGCAAGAACTTTTTGACTATCCTACCCAGGTCGATCAATCCGATAGTCGGATCTTATCGGATCCGATAAGTGTCCTACAGGTATCCGATAGGATAATATCAGATCCGACAGGAATCCGTGAAACGGAATCACGGCGGATCCCGTCAGTAGTCGGATCCGATCGGATCCTATAAGAGATCCGACAGTTGGATCCGATAGTATCCCAATATCGTTATCCAGTACTGATAAAATGAATGCTAATAAAATTTGCAGCAATTAGGATTCATCCGACGGGAATCCGACGTGATTCCGTTTCACGGATTCCTGTGGGATTTTGTCGGCTGGTCGGATCTTACAAGATTCTACGAGATCCGGTATCGGATTGATGGACCTGGGTATGTAGTATATTATTGTGTCAATAAAGTTCTTTTGCTTCAGATGGTCTGTCTCTTTTTCTTAAGTATTGCTATAAATAAATGTGTTAGATCTGTAATATGATCTTGTGTATATGATGTTTATTTCTAAAAAATAAGACTCTCTGTTATCACACACACGTAGATATTTATATATATGAGATGACAGAATATACCAAGAATAGATATGATACGAATGGAACATATTTGAATGATCACATAAAAGAAAGAAATGAAGAATCCAAGAGAAAGCAATATGGGAATGTATCTGATAGTAAGGAGCTGCACCGAGTTTTCTGAACTCGACCAGAGGATTGTGGGCCGCTCTATTATCTCGAATACTAAACTGTTTTTCGAATACACAGTTGTGAAGCAATGTTTGCCCTGTCAGACTATGTAATTAGGACTGCACAAGAGTCATTCAAACCGGAAGGCTTTAAACAAAAAAGTCCGACTCCATACATTCAGGTTTGACCGAGTCCAAGTATGGATTCGAACCTTTTTATTTAAATACCTTCGACTTTAAAAGGTTCTTGTACAGTTCTAATCACACAATCTCAAAGAGCAAACATTGCTCTACAAAATTTATATTCGAATAACCATTCCATATTCGAGATAATAGAATGGTTCATGATTCTTTCGTCGGGTCCAAAAAATCCAGTGTAACTCACTACCTGACAGAAAGAAAGAGAAAGAAAGGCGCAGATACATATGTATAGAAAGGAAGAGACTGCAAACACATGTATAGTATAACACAATTCTCTCTTATGGCATATCTTTGGAGTGTGCCATAAAGAAAATGAATCCATATTGCTCCTTTTTATATATAATTTGTCATTAATTTAAGTATACTATTGCTGATTCAGTATATCTATCGCTCATTCTATATAGTTATTGCCTACTCAATATAATTATTGTTCATTCAATATGATTACTGCCCATCCAATATAATTATTGCCCATTCAGCATATTTATTGCTAAATTTCATTATTCCTCATTTCAATTATTTTATTGCTCAATTAAATATAAGTCAAAAAAAAATAAATACGAAACTTCTTCACTATTTAAGCCATGTTTCTTTTAGCGATAGCATCCTTTGCTCAAGAACGTATTTTCATGGATGAGATGATTCGATTGTCGTCCAATGATCGTATATATTCAATTCCATTTGTATATCAGGTCTCTCACAGTGGTTTAGTATCTATTGCTCGTTTCCGACGTGCACTTGATGCTCTTGTCATTAAACATGATATCCTGCGTACATCACTTCTCTTCAATTCCACATCGGGCCAGCTAGAAGAACATGTTGAATTCTTCTCCAACAATATATACACATTTGTTGTGACGAATGCTAACGATCAAGATAATGCTCAACAAATGACTCTTTTTGATATTGAACATGGTCGTGTGCTACATTGTCAAATTATTCGCAACGCATCACAACCATCCCCAGATGATTTGCTCGAAAGCAAGGATTTCATTGTCATAAATATTCATCATATTGCCTTTGATGGTGCTTCAATGTCACTTTTCTTGCATGATCTTCAGCTTGCATACGAAACAGATCTTCCATTACCGGCCATGCTTAATGGTTTGAAATATATCGACTATGCTGTACATGAACGACAAATAGATATGACAATATCACGTCAGTTTTGGCGATCATTACTCGACACGTATGATTTCAGTCGGCAACTGTCACTGCCATTTGATCGCCAGCGTTCTTCCGAAGAGAAAAAGTCAGGTCAGGGATCGAGTTTTCACTTCTCATTTGGTAAAGAACTATCTCGAACTTATCTAAACTATGCAGCGACACATAGTGTGACACTCTTTCAACTAGGACTCGCATGTTTCTACGCTTTTCTCTTCAAATTGAGCAATGGGCAGCGAGACTTATGTGCCATATGTGTTAATGCCAATCGATATCGATCTGAACTACAAAATATAATCGGTATGTTTGTCTCTACTCTACCATATCGCTTACAAATCGATCCAACACTCTCGTTCGATCATCTCGTTCGACAAGTTCAAGAGCAATGCCTTCAAATTCTTGATCATTCTCATTATCCATTACAGCACATAATGGTTGATGCAATCAAAGGATCGACATTTCCCACTTCAGAAACAATGTTCGATTTTGTTAATCTGGAAAACGATCCTATGGTATATCTTGACAATGCTCAACTCCTACCCGTTCGTGAATCAAACAATGATAATATGGTTAAATTTGACTTTGAATGGGCAATCAGCTACGCACTGTCAACAGATGAATTGTTCTGCACTGTTTCATGTTCTCGTGACATCTTCGACAACACAACAGTTTGCACAATAGCTGATCGTTCTATTGTATTTCTGGAACAGCTACTTCACGATCCATTGATCAGATCAATGCCACTCTATAAACTTTCAATTCTACTGCCACATGAAAATCATGTTATTCATGAGTTGAACGATACACAAAATATCTCTTTGATTCCACATTCCACTATTCGAGACATGTTCACCATTCTAGCTGACAATCATCCACAAAAAGTGTCTGTGGAATTAGATGAACAATGTATCACATATGGTGAATTGATGTCATATGTGGAGCGAATCGCTCTTCTTCTCCTTGATCATTTTCACATTCAACCTGGTGAAATCATTTGTCAATGTGTGGAACGAAGTATTGAAATGGTGAGTTGACCTTACTTACTCCTTCTTTTAATCTCTTCTGCTATGATTGATATTATTTCGAGGTAATTGGAATCATGGCAATCGAAGTTGTAGGTGGTGTTTATTGTCCATTGTCTGCAGCAGATCCACAAAATCGTCTTCAACAGCTTATTCACGACACTAATAGTCGTCTTGTATTAGTGCATTCGATGACACGTGACG